AGGAGCTGGGGATATAGGTCACTGCTAGTAGAGCACTTGCCTAGTATGTTTGAGGTTCTGGGTTCAATCCCCAGTACTACAAGGAAAAAAATACACACACATTCACACTCATATGTACATGAGACAAAATGAACTGAAGGCATAGCTCAAGCTTTGTGTTTTGGAGAAGATTTTATTCTGAATGAGAGAGTGGTTTGCTCCAGCTTTATTGAGTGGTGATGGATTTGGGGAAGATGCAGAAGAGGGAAGTTGTTCTAGTAGTCAGGCAAAGAAATGCCAGTGACATGGATAGGATGTAGGGGTCCAGAATTAAAAGACATAAATATATTTAGGATATATTTTGGAGATAAAACTATCCCAAGATTTGTCCCTCAAGATTGAAAATATTTGGAACGAAAATTTTGTCTGTACTGACTTGTCCCTAACAATGAAGTGTAACAAGCAGTATTTACATTTTATTAGGTATTGCATGTAATCTAAGGATGCATTAAAATATATAGGAGGGAAGGATGCAAGTAGATTTTGTGTGTGGGGTAGAGGTTGTTTGTTTGTTTGTTTGTTTTGAGACAGGTCACATTACGTAGTTCAAGATGGCTTTGAACCCATGTAGCCCAGGCTGCCCTTGAACCTCCTACCTAAGCCTTCCGAGTGCTAGGACTACAAGTATGTGCCACCATGCCCACCTGCATGTAGTTCACATGTAAATATTATACCATTTTACATAAGAGATTTAAGTGTGTATGGATTTTGGTATCTATAGAGGTCCTAGAGCCAATTCCCTATGGATACTGAGGGACAGCTTTATAAATATGATAAAATAACATTTTTTATTACTTAAAATTGTTGAATTTTAGCAAAGAATTAATAGATGTTAATTGTACTAAATCACACTTTCAGTGTTTCAATACGATAGTTCATAATAAAGAGAGAACAGAAGCCAGGCATGGTGGCACACACCTGTAATCCCTGATCTATGGGAGGCTGAGGCAAGAAGATTGCAAGTTCAGTCCAGCCTGAGAAATTTAGCAACTTAGCAAGACTTTGTCTCAAAATAAAATATAAAAAGAACTGGGGAGGGCTGGGGATTTAGCTCAGTGGTTTCATCGCCTGCTGCGCAAGCACAAGGACCTGAGTTGGATCCCCGGTACCAAAAAAAAAAGAACTAGGGATATAGCTCAATGAGAAGACTCAGTCCAATCCCCAGTACCCCTCCCCCCCCCAAAGCAAAAATATTGTTTCACTATTCATGAGAACTGACAAATAGGAAAGTAGCTGTTGGGCCGGTGATGTAGCTCAGTGGTTTCACTGTCTGCCTTGCAAGCACGAGGACCCGAGTTCGATCCCCAGTACCAAAAAAAAAAAACCCAGAAAGTAGCTGTGGGGAATGAATGAAAACCAGTTCTCACAAGGTCTCGTTTAGTCAGCCAGACATGGTGCTGCACACCTGTAATCCCAGCACTCTGGAGGGTGAGGCAGGAGGATCACTGGGAGTTCAAGACCAGCCTGGGCTACATAGTGTGCTCAAGGCCAGTCCATTACAAAGTAAGATCCTGCCTAAAAAAAAAAAAAAAAAAAGAGATCTGGATTATTCTGAGTATGAATTAGAATTGATGAGATTTCTGGAACTGTTTCTACCTGGCTGTTTTTAGCTAACAAAATTGTAAATCAGCAATATAAAAATTTTCCCATCAACCTTGTATTTATTTGTAGTGATTCTCTCCTACTAAGTAAATGAGTGAAAAGATGAGCACAATTTAACCAGTTTTGTCTTCTTATGGTATCTTTGATTAAAGAAACTTGAGTCAGCTAAGTTTTGGAAGAATTTTTGAAATGCTTAGTTGCCGCTTCTCCATATTGGTGATTGAACCTGAGGGTCTTCAAACTGAACCACATCCCCAGCCCTTTTAATTATGAGACGGGGTTGTGCTAGGTTGCCCAGGCTGGTCTAGAACTCGGGATTCTCCTACCTCAGCATCTTGAGTAGCTAGGATTACAGGAATGTGCCACCACATCTAGCTGAAACGTTTAAATTTGTTACTCTCTCTTTTTTTTCTTTTGAGACAGGGTCTAACTATGGAGTCCAGGCTGGCCTTGAATTCACTATCCTGCTGCCTCAGTCTCCTGAGTGCTGGGATTGCACGTGTCCACCACATACCTGGCTAATCTCTCTATTTCTTAAGTATTATATATTATTTTCCTTCCCACCCTTCAGATCCTGACCTTGATCTGTCTTTATACTGTGGGAGAATTTTGATTTAATTAATTCTAATGATGTAGGCATTGGTCCACACATGAACTTCATTTTTGTGGTTTGTTGGATATGTGGCCCAGGGAGAGAACTCACTGTAAGAGAAAGACTTGCGAGGCCGGGGATTTAGCTCAGTGGTTCTGCTGCCTTCCTCGCAAGCACAAGGTCCCGAATTTGATCCCCGGTAACAAAAAAAGGAAAGAAAGACTCTCGGTGTGAAGATAGGTTCCCGAAAATCAGATGCAGTGGGTTGAAGTGGGACCCTCTTAAGCAAGAGGGCGCAAATGCAAAGTCCTCTTTGATTCAAAGTGCCTCTTTAATAACAAATTTTCAGTTGATGCTGTTCTTATCACTGTTAGAAAATCCAGTAGTTCTCAAGTTAAAATCAGTTAGTAATTAGGGCTAGATAGGCAGAAGACAGACTGAATAGAATTATACTGTACTTCTATTTGGGGGATGCAAACTAGGTATTAGAGAATTAGAGGTTGAGTGAAAAGAGGACTGTGGAATTAGACAACCTGGATCCTAGTCCTAGCGTCACAGTTTTAAGATTTGAATGATTTTGTTCAGGCCACAGCACCTCTGAATCTGTTTTCTTGCTGTTAGGATGTGGGTATTGCTACTAACTGATTTATCATTTTCATTGATTGTTACAAGACTTAGATCCTATGTGTGAAAATATTTTAATGATTGTCCTCAAACTAGGGACTTAGAATAGCTGATTTCACCCTAAGCCTTGTTCAGTTTGGCTGGTACAGTGTTGTAAAAAATTGAGTATGAGTGAGCTAGGCATGGTGGTGCACACCTGTAATTCCCAGCAAGCACTCTAGAAAGCTGAGAAAGGATGATTGGAAGTTAGAGACCAGCCTGGGCAATTTAGCAAATTAGCAAGACCCTGTCTCAAAATAAAATTTTTTTTTTAAAATATGGGGGCTGGGGATTTAGCTCAGTGGCACCACACCTGCCTTGCAAGCTCAAGGTCCTGAGTTCGATCCCTGGTTCCAAAATAAAATAATAATAATAATAATTTTTTTTTAATTTTAAAAAGCTGATAATGTGGTTCAGTACAAAGGCCATGGGATCAACCCCAGTTACACCTACCCTCGTAAAAAAAAAAAGAGAAATGTTGGGCCAAGCATGGTGGCACATGTCCATAATTCCAGCTACTTGGGAGAGTGAGGCAAGAGGATGGCAAATTCAGGGCCAGCCTAGGCAACTTAGCAAGACCCTTTCTCAAAATAAAAAAAGGCTAGTAATGTAACTCAGTGGTAGGGCACCCCTGGGCTTGATCCCCCAGTAATGCAAAAAACTTTTGGGCTGAGAGAGTATGGCTTAATGGTAGAGTGCTTGCCTTGCATGCACAAGGCCCTGGGTTTAATCCCCAGCATTGGGGGAAAAAAGTAAGAAACCAGAAACAAAAATCTCAACATTTTAAATGTACCAATATTTTAATGGAGCACCACTGCAGTCTTGCTACTCACTAGCATGTGACCTGAGTCTCAGTTGTTTCATCTATTTATTAGGAGATATATTAGTTTGCTAGGACTACCATAACAAAGACCCATAGACTTAAATAAGTGAAACTTATTTTTTCACAATTCTAGAGCTTAGAAGTCCGAAATCAAGGTATCAGCAGGGTTGGCATCTTCTAAGGCCTCTGTCTTTAGCTTCTAGATAGTTATCTTTATGTTCACATGGTGTTCTCTCTACTACTTGTTTTTTTGTTGTTGTTTTGTTTGGAGACAAGGGTCTCACTGTGTAGTTCATGCTGGCTTTGAACACACCATCTACCTAGGCTGGCCTCGAACTCATGGTGATCCTCTTGCCTTAGCCTCCTGAGTTCTGGGATTACAGGTGTGCGCCACCACACTTGTCTCCCTTTCTTCTTTTTGTTTGGTACCAGGGATTGAACTCCAGACCTTGCACTTGGGAGGCAGGTGACGGAACCACTGAGCTAAATCCCTGGCCCCTTCTTCTTCTTCTTCTTCTTTTTTTTTTAAAATTTTTTTCCAGTACTAGGAATCAAACTCAGGACCTTATGCTTGCCAGGCAGGCGTGGTGCCACTGAGGCACATCCCGGCCCTCCCTTTCTTCTTAAAAGGACATTATTTTTGGAATAGCAATAACCTCTTTTATCCTTAATTACCTTTTTAAGGTTTTAATTACCTCTTTTTGTCTCCAAATACAGTCATATTCTGAGGTACTAGGGATTAGGACTTCATCATATAATTTTTTTTTTTTTGGTACTGGGGATTGAACTCAGGTCCTTGCGCTTGCAAGGCAGGCTGCAGAACCACTAAGCTAATTCCCCAGCCCTTCATCATATAAATTTTGAGGGACAACAGCCATTACAGGGCCTGTACCACTTTTGTATTATTATTGCTAGTCCCCTGGTTCTAAAACCTTAGAAAATGAAGAGAGGGCTGAATTCTAGACATGGCAACATTAGACATTTATTCCTCAGAAATAGAAGGTGTAATTAAGAATATTCAACAGCTGTCCTGAAACAGACTCTACAAAAGATTTATTGTATTACAAATTTTCCTGATCCAGTTCCATCAGGCAAGGGTATGCATGATGGAAAAAGCCCTCTAACCTGCTGGAGGATCCTTAAGTAGCAACCCAATCTTTTGGTTACTGATTGCAGATATGTTTCTGCAGATGTTCATCCTTCCAGTCTAATTTCCCTGCCTACTTCTCCAGTGAAGTCATAAGCAAATGTTTGTGATAGTTTCTTATCACCATGGTTACTCAAGAGCCAAAGTCTAATTTCCCTTCCAGCTTCACTACTACAGCTGCTGGGAGAGCCCAGGCTCAAAGTAATGAAAAACAGTATGTCAGGTAATAAGAGAACAACATTCCAGAGACCTGCCTTTAGGAGTCTGCCCTCTACCTGTAGTTTTCAGGCACTGGTGTAAGCAGAGAACCCATAGGGAGGCCACTACAGTTTCTTAGATCGATCGTGGTGTTAGTGGTGGTTCTCCTTCTCTTCCTCCTTTTCTTTCTCCTCTTTGTCCTCCTTCTTTTTTCATTCTCTTCTTCTTTCTTCTTCCTTTTTCCTTCTTCTTCTTCTTACTGGCTTTGCCAAGTGGATGTAAACACTTGAACTTGCACTTCTAAGACCTTACTACTACTATAGGTTCCCTACTACTTCATGGAATGACCAAGGGTACCTTCTCTGAAGTCTCATTTTCTCAGTGTCTGTAGCTCTAGAATCAGCTCTTTTCTCAGCCTCCAGTTTCACTTCTCTTTCATTCAGATTCCCTCATAGACTACTCCCCCTATTTATGGACTACTTTATTCCATTCCCACTCTCCAAGGTGAACTCCTGCTTGAAGAACCACCTCAAATCTTATGTTTGGAAGACTTCTTTTAAACTCTCTCATCAGTTACTCTTGTCCCTTCAGGAAAGGAGCACTAATAGATTTAATGGTCCTCTTCTGTGTGTCTACAAAATTTAAATTTTCATCTCTTTTACAATACTGTTAGTCACTTTCAGATTACAGTTGAGACAGTGGGAAATGCCTATGAGGGAAAAACAGGATGATAAAGCTTCAGGCCTTTCTATCACTTTAACATAATCAGCTTCACTTTTTAAATATTGGGATTCTATGTCAGATTCAGTCAGGGGAAGTACACACAATTTTTAAAATACATTTTTTGGGGGCCAGGGATGTAGCTAAGTGGCACAGTGCCTGCCTGGCAAGC